TGATTTTAGCCAAGGAAACGACACAGATCCAGGATACTTTGAGCCTCAACTCGTCAATTTTGATTGTTTTTCCCACTGATAATAAGAAAAGGCGAAAAAAAACTGGGAGCCTTTGCCCCTGACAGTAACTCAGAAGACAGCTGCATTACACTGGGGCCCTGTCATTCAAACCGCCAGATCACGCCGTCAAAAAACATTTATCAGATGAATACTTTGAACATTTCACAGTTCTCTGTAAGACCCACGATGATAGTACGATCAAATCGTTTAACTCTGTAAAAAATTTAACGTTTCTGTCTTCCAATGGGGGACCTCATTGTTGACTCGCAGTAGGGCTAACGAGGTCGAGAAAGCGCAAAAATCAACGTTAAGTGGCCGTGTTCTACCATTGTCTAATCCTGGAATGTACGGTGGGAACCAGCGGCCATACTAAATTGCAGAGTGTTGGGGGTTTCATGCAATCCATTCTCTCTTTTTCTTTCCTTTTTTTTTTGTATGTTTCTCTCTCTGACTTTTCAGATTTTGTATTTGTTTATTTTGATATCCAAATTTGATACTTTTGTTGACTGCCATTCTCTTTACAAGGCACTGCACAACTATACTTAACGTAGCTTGTGAGGGTTGAGCTGCATAGAATTAACGCTATAGTGGTATACTCATTTCTTCTCTCTCTGTGAGCAAAGTGAGGAACAGTGGAACAAAACACAGAGATGAGAAGCTTTTGCGGTCATCTTCTGCTTAATATTTCCCTCATTCTTCTACTATTCTCTGCCAGCAGCAATGGTTACAGTGATCTTGAAGTTCTGTTGAAGCTCAAGTCTTCCATGATTGGACCGAAAGGTTCAGGACTAGAGGACTGGGAATTCTCCTCGTCTCCCTCTGCGCATTGTCACTTCTCTGGTGTTAAATGCGATGTGGAACTCCGTGTTGTTTCTCTGAATGCGTCGTTTGCTCCTCTCTCTGGCACCATACCACCGGAGATAGGGCTTCTGAACAAGCTCGTCAACCTTACTATTGCTGCTGCTAATCTTACAGGGAGGATTCCGCTGGAGATGGGGAATTTGACTTCTCTCAAGATATTCAACATCTCCAACAATCTTTTCAAAGGCAGTTTCCCTGGAGAAATTCTTTCAGGTATGACTCAGCTTGAGATTCTTGATGCTTATAACAATAACTTTACGGGTCTTCTTCCCATTGAGGTCGCGAACCTGAAGAATATAAAGCATCTATGTTTGGGAGGCAACTTTTTCACCGGAGAGATACCAGAGAAGTACTCTGACATCCAGAGCTTGGAATACTTGGGACTAAACGGCATCGGTTTAACAGGGAAAAGTCCTGCGTTTTTGGCTCGTTTGAAAAACTTGAAAGAAATGTACATTGGATATTTCAACGCCTATGTTGGAGAAGTTCCACCTGAGTTCGGAACATTGAGTCAACTCCAAGTTCTCGACATAGCAAGCTGCAACTTAACCGGTGAGATTCCTGTGAGTTTGAGCAATTTGAAGCACTTGCACACATTGTTCCTTCAACTGAACCGCCTTACAGGACGTATTCCATCCGAACTCTCTGGTTTAATCAGCTTGAAATCGCTTGATCTTTCAATAAATGAACTAACAGGGGAGATACCAGAGAGTTTCTCTGCCTTGCAGAACATTACACTCATAAATTTGTTCAAAAATAATCTCTACGGTCCAATCCCGTCTTTCGTTGGTGATTTTCCTCATCTCGAAGTGCTTCAAGTGTGGGGAAACAACTTCACGCGTGAGTTACCAGAGAATCTCGGCCGTAACGGGAAGCTTTTCAAGCTTGACGTTACTTCGAATCACCTCACTGGGTTGATTCCACGGCATTTGTGTGAGGGAGGGAGGTTGGAGACGTTGATTCTGATGGATAATTTCTTCTTTGGTCCACTCCCTGAAGAACTCGGTAACTGCAAGTCTCTTACCAAGATTCGTATCATGAAAAACCTTCTCAATGGAACAATTCCAGCTGGAATTTTCAACTTGCCCTTGCTGAGTATTGTCGAGTTGAACGACAATTTCTTCTCTGGTGAACTCCCAACCCAGATGTCAGGTGCTTCGCTTGGTCAGTTAAAAGTTTCAAACAATTGGATCACTGGTAAAATCCCTCCAGCAATCGGCAATTTGCGTAATTTGCAGGTCTTGTCTCTAGAAATGAACAAATTTTCGGGTGAAATTCCTGAGGAAATCTTCAATATCAAGTTACTTTCAAAGATAAACATCAGTGACAACAGTATTATTGGTGAAATTCCTCCTTCGATTTCTCGGTGTGCGTCACTTACTTCAATTGATTTCAGTCAGAACAGTCTCGCTGGTGAAATTCCAAAAAGAATTGAAAAGTTGAAAGATTTAAGCATCCTCAATTTTTCAAGAAACCAGCTAACTGGTGAAATCCCTGGTGAAATCCGATACATGATAAGTCTCACAACTCTTGATCTCTCGTATAATAACTTCGTCGGCAGAATCCCCGGTGGTGGCCAATTTTCAGTCTTCAACGACACTTCGTTTACTGGAAACCCCAACCTCTGTCCCCCGCGCCACGTTACTTGTCCAGCTCTGATAAACCAAGCTAAAGGTTCAGGTCATGGCCAGGCAGCGTCTTTCACTGCTTCAAAGCTCATAATCACGATAATCACGTCAGTCACTGCTTTGTTATTGATAGTTGTCACGGTTTACAGAATGCGAAAGAAGAGGCTTCAAAAA